TTAAATTGTATTTGCTGTCTAATAAAATTGCACCTAACTTTGGAGATGTATCCTTCCTTTATTTCTGGTTGACATAGAAGTGGCCAGTCTCAAGCCATCTGAGATTCATGTCACGACAGGGAGCATCAGGACAGGTATAGAAAAGATACACTCAGGAGGATCCCAAAGAGGGTCAGACTGTCCCCCAAACCACCACCATCCTCACATCAGAAAAGTCTCAAAATTAGAGGAAATGCAAAACTTCTAAACTGTAGAAGGAGGCTGCTTTCCCCGTGTACCTCAAGGGCCTGACAATGAATGTCCTATGCTCCCTGCTCTTTAACTTTCTCACCCATATGCTGGTTTTTGTTTTTGCTTGTTTGTTTATTTTTCGAGACAGGGTTTCCCTGTGTAACAGTACTAGTTGTCCTGGAACTAGCTCTTGTAGACCAGGCTGGCCTCAAACTCACAGGGATTCACCTGCCTCTGCCTCCCGTGTGCTGGGATTAAAGGTGTGCACCATCACCACCCAGCCCCATATGCTGCTTTTAAGTTCTCTTTCTGACTTGATACTATGTTTTCTGGGCTGCAGAGCAAAGCTAGCTCTCTGTATCTCACGGGGTTACCCCAGGATGGGGTAGGAGGGGAAGTTGCTTCAGAATCTTATATAAGGCCCTAAATTAGTGGTGATTGTGCAGCAATTTCCTCAAAAACAAAACCCTCCATCTTGAAGGGAGACTTGTAAAGACACAGGATGCTCTGGGGGGAGGTAAAACAATCCATCCTGCAAGGAATCGATTGCGCTCAAGAAGTAAACAATTCAAAGGCTTCAGGTCCCTAAAACGGGGCAGATTCACTAGGCATCCGCCATCTCCAAGCATATATCAACTGTAAAAGAGACATCAGACAATCTGGACTGTCTAGAAGAATCTCTGACCAGCTGAGCAGCCCGAAGGTTGTGAACCACACTCCAGCTTTTCAAATTTCACAAGCTATCACCCATGATGGAGTGGGTTTGGGAGTCTTTGAGTCATTTCTGCTTCTGTAAATAACCCCTCACCCATATCCCTGTAAGTAACCCCAATGTCTGTAGGAGGGAGGTTGCTTGTTGGTTCCCGGCCACCTGGCTAGCTTAGACCCAAAATAATCACACAGAAACTGTATTAATTATATCACTGCTTGGCCCATTAGCTCTAGCTTCTTATTGACGAATTCTTATATTAATTTAACCCATTTCTATTCATCTGTATACTGCCATGTGACTGTGACTTACAGGGTAAAGTCCCCAATGTCTGTCTCCGGCAGCTCCATGGCTTCTCTCAGACTCTGCCCTTCTTTCTCCCAGCATACAGCCTAGCTTTCCCTGCCTAGTTCTGTTCTTTCCTGCCATAGGCTCAAAGCAGTTATTTATTCATTAACCAATAAAAGCAACACATAGAAAGATCTCCCATACCAAATGTCTTAGGGTTTTTTTGTTTTGTGTGTGTGTGTGTGTGTGTGTGTGTGTGTGTGTGTTGTTTTGTTTGTTTGTTTTGTTTTTTCAAGACTGGGTTTCTCTGTAGCTTTGGAGCCTATTCTGGAACTAGCTCTTGTAGACCAGGCTGGTTTCAAATTCAGAGATCCACCTGCTTCTGCCTCCCATGTGCTAGGATTAAAGGAGTGCACCACCACCGCCCTTTAAAAGAGACCACAGCAACTCTTATAAAGAAAACATTTTAATTGGCTCACTTAATTTCAGAGGTCCAGTCCTTTATCATCATGATGGCGAACACTGGCAGCGTGCAGGCAGATGTGGTGCTGGAGTAGTAGCTCAGAGTCCTTCATCGTGCAGACAACACCAAGTGCTCTGAAAGTTACACTGAGGGAAATGAGCAAAAGGGACCTTAAAGCTCACACACACACACACACATACACAAACACACAATGACACACACACACTCAATGACACACTTCCTCCAACAAGGCCACACCTCCTAACAATGCCACTCCCTGGAAGGGTCATTTTCTTTCAAACCACCACATTCAACTCCATGGCCCCCAAAGATGATAGCCATGTCATAATGCAAAAATGCATTCAGTCCAACTTCAAAAATCCCCATAGTCTATCACAGTCTCAAATTTGTTTCAAAGTCTCTTCTGAGATGCATGGCAATCTCTTAACTGTAATTCCCCTATAAAAATCAAAATCAAGCCGGGCAGTGGTGGCGCATGCCTTTAATCCCAGCACTTGGGAGGCAGAGGCAGGCGGATCTCTGTGAGTTCGAGACCAGCCTGGTCTACAAGAGCTAGTTCCAGGACAGGCTCCAAAACCACACAGAAACCCTGTCTCGAAAAACCAAAAAAAAAAAAAATCAAAAGGCAGATGACATACTTCCAACATACAAAAGCACAGGATATACATTACCCTTCCAAAACATAGGTAAGGGAGAACAATGAGGAAATGCTGGAGCAAATCAAGGCCAAAAACCAGCCGGGCAAACTCCAAACTCTGTCCATATCTGATGTCAAAATACTTTTTAGATCTCCAACCCCATTCATCTTTTTCTCTTGGGCTGATTCCACCCCCTGCTCTCCTCAGCAGGTACCCCATGGCTCCAGCATCTCCAACATCTTGGGTTCTCCAAGACAATCAAGGCTTCAACCTCACAGCTTCACCCAATGGCCTCTCTAGGCCTTCAGGGACACCCCTGACATATGCCTGCCTCGGTGGCTTTATTCCATAATTCCTTTCTTCTAGCCTTAATTCTAAACCCAGAACCACATGGCTGAAGCTGCCAAGTTCTGCTGCTTCCTGGGGCTGGAACATGGCCTCCTCAATCAATTACATCTTCACCTGCTGTCTTCCATTGCCTTCACTTGAGTGTCCTGAGACTTACTATGTAGACCAGGTTGGCCTCCAACTCAAATCTGCCAGCCTCTGCCTTCCAAGTGCTGGGATTAAAGGCATACACCATTCCCTTTGGGGGCCATTTTATTTCACACTACAATACCCAGTAAAACTGTTTTACCAAGTTGGACTTTGGTGATATTTGTATCTGTTGTTGGTTCCCTATCTGGGGTAAGTAGACGTTTGTTCTTATATCCCCAGGAAGAGTGACATAAAACCGGTGGAGACGAGTAGTCGTAGGCAAATCTGCCACCTGTATGAAGCCTCTCTGATTCAGAAAATGAAGGAAGAGGAAGGTGTGAAGCAGAAGATCAGGCAAACACTATTTCTAAGCAACCGGGGGAAAACCCAGAGGTCAGCTAGTTTATGCCTCCCCTTTCCCTCCCCCTCTGCCTCCCTCCTTCCCTTCCTACCTCCTTCCCTTCCTACCTCCTTCCCTCTGTTTTTTTTCTCCCATCTTAGATCCTTGTTAATACTGAGACCCACTCCCACTATAAAAGTTCCTGCCATTCCTAAGCACATAAAGTCATTAGTACTTTCTTTCTCCTTTCTATTCTCCTCTGTATGAACTTCATTTACCCCTGAGGACTAATATTAGGGTTGCTCCTGTCACAGGAGGGCAGTCACTCTTCCAGTCCCTCCATACCCTTAAAACCTGACAGAAAGATGTTGTCTCTCTCAAGTTCCACTCAGAGAAAGACTCCTCTGAAGAGTTTCCTCAATCCCAAGCGTAACCTCTGGCCTTCTGCTGAGGATGGACTGGGATACTCTCAAGAACCCTAGACTTGACCAGGTGCACCTGCTGAGTAGATGAGGTGGGCTCAGACCTCCAGAAGGAAAGAATACCCAAATGAAAGAGGGGATGGAAGATGGCAGCAGATAGCTTTGGAATCTCATTCTTAGTGCCTAGTTAGCAATGAAGAGACCAGGAACCAGGTCACAGGCAACTCTTTCACCTGGATGAAGCCTTCGGGTGAACTGGAGACATGAACACTTTGTTTCTAGTTACAGATGACTTCACAGTTCTGGGTAAAGAATTTCTGGAAATTCCTCAAATACTGACACCCACAACCAGAGTGTAAATCAGTTGCCTTCTGGAAACAAACAAACAAAAAAATATCCTGTGAAATACTGTGACTCATGATGGCAGCACTACAAACAAATGTCACTAAGTCTCACTTTATTAAATCCACCGAGTATTTGGCCCTGTAGTAAAATGCAGTCACCCATCAGTGTACACTGGGAATTGCTTCCAGAACCCTGCAGATATCAGTCTACGGAGTCTCAGGACCCTTATGTGAATGAAAAATCTGCACAAACCCTGTAGACAGAGCCAACAAAATGGCCCTACTGGTAGAGGCACTTGTCATCCCCCTGATGACCTGAACTCAATACCTGGGACACACGATAGAAGGAGAAAACCAACTCTTGGAACGTTGCCCTTTGAACCTTTGCACATGTACTTATACACACACACCAATCTTCTCTTTATGTCTTGCCTGCCATTAATCCTATCATGCAAATATTTTTTTGAAAGGGTCTCACTATGTAGTCCAGCCTGGAACTTGTTATGTAGACCAGGCTGGTCTTGCACTCAGAAATCTGCCAACATCTCAAGTGTTGGAATTAAAACTGTATGACACCACTGGCAGCCATACCAGGCCCAGCTTTAAACCAACTACCTTGAAAGTGAATTTGTCTATTTTTAGCTCTCATTACATCTATCTTAAACTCTGAAGTCAGCTGCAGTGGCATCCACCTGTAAACCCAGGTACACCAGAGGCTGGAAACCTGAGTTTGAAGACAAGATGGACTAGACATTAATGTTGGAGGAGGGCCCACTTGTTCATCCCAGCCGCCCAGCTAGCTTAGCCCCAAAATAACCACAAAGAAACTATATTAATTTTTTTTTTTTTTTGGTTTTTCGAGACAGGGTTTCTCTCTGGCTTTGGAACCTGTCCTGGAACTAGCTCTTGTAGACCAGGCTGGCCTCGAACTCACAGAGATCCGCCTGCCTCTGCCTCCCAAGTGCTGGGATTAAAGGCGTGCGCCACCACTGCCCGGCGAGAAACTATATTAATTAAAACACTGCTTGGTTCATTAGCTCTAGCCTCTTATTGACTAACTTTTATATTAATTTAACCCATTTCTATTAATCTGTATATCGCCACATGGCAGTGGCTTAATGGCAAAGACTCAGCACGTCTGACTCCGGTGGCTCCATGGTGTCTCTCCCTACCTCTTCTTCCCAGCATTCCATTTATTTTTCCCTTCCTAGCTCTGTTCCCCTACAGCTCTGCTATAGCCCAAGCAGTTCCTTTATTAACCAATGAAAGCAACACATAGTCAGAAGGACCTCCCACACCACATTAAGGCCTTGTTGAGTCCTCAAAGGGTTGAAATGTCCGACATGCACCAGACATTGAACTCTGGATTCAATCCTCAGCACTGCAGAATCCAGAATCAGTAGTTCACACCTGCACTGGCCGCAGGATGAGTTCAGGGTCATTCTGGCAGAGAGCCTTTATCATTTATTACAGGAGCAATTAATATTCAAGGTGTCAACCAACCAGAATTAATTTCTGATGGAGGAAATGTGCCTTGCAAGACCTGCAAGAAATACAGACGCCAGAATATCTGATGTTTCTCCCTATAATTTTAAATGTGCTAAATGCATTCTTTCCCTAGCCTGTGTGTGTGTGTGTGCGTGTGCGTGTGTGCGTGTGTATGTGTGTGTGTGTGTGTGTGTGTATCGCATGAATACATTCTTTATCTACTGGGCATTTTTATCTATGAATTGTCAAGAAGATGGTTCTGCCTTAGCTGTATTATCCAATTAGTATTAATACTGTTAACCTATACCGAGTTTTCATGAATAAAACAAATGCTGCCCAAGTCAGAAGTTCTAAGCTTCCATTAAGAGTGGAACTAGAGTACAGCTTAAGAAAACACTGTAATTTCCCCAGCTGCCAAGATAGCCACACACTATCAACTGATATAAAACTTTAAAGTAGCTTTTAGATCAGGCCAGGTGCTTTGCTAATTGGATTTTAAGGTAAACTATTACCAAAAGAATACAATCTTAGCTGGGCGGTGGTAGTGCACACCTTTAATCCCAGCACTTGGATCTTTTTGAGTTCAAGGCCAGCCTGGTCTACAAGTGGGTTCCACAACATCTAGGACTATTACACAAAGAAACCCTGTCTTGAAAAACAAAACAAAAAAGAATACAATCTTATTTACTAGAACATGTAGCCAGCTGTACAATTTATTGAGCCAAGGTAAATAGTGCAGAGTAATTTAACTGGAGTACCGGGGACAATAATTAACTCTGCACAGATTCCTAACCTCAGCCTTTGTTCAGGCACCACGGAAGAAAAATTCTCTATCTGGCCAGGGTTAGCTACAAAATATAAAATAACTTCATAGCCTTCCCCCCCCCCCCAAAAAAAAGAGTTACAAGCTTTTCTTTCTATGGTCAAGGGTTACATGCTGGACATAAAAATATATCTTAAGATTGAAAATGCTTCAAATGCCAGTGTGTTGGTGAGTGTTGTATGGTCTTCTCTGCCCCTGGCCCTGCAGCTCCAGCTGCTGCTGCCCTCTCTCTGAGGACACATTTGTAAACAAACAAGTCCCCAGTCCCAGAAAACCTGGAATTTATGACTACTGATCACAAAATGTTTAAGATGTTTTATACAATCAAAAGTATAGGATATAGGGGCTGGAGAGATGGCTCAGTGGTTAAGAACTCTTCCAGAGACACTGAGTTCAATTCCCAGCAACGACATGGTGGCTCCCTCTTCTGGCCTACAGACATACATGAAGACAGAACACTGTAAACATAATAAATAAATCTTTTTTTAAAGTATAGGATATAGCACACAATTTCCTTATTTCTCTTATTAGTTTAGTTTTGTAAGGCTACCTCTATGGATAACAAAAAGACTTCTCCTTTTACAGCTGCGGTTTGCAGTCCACTAGTTAGGGAGTTAACTAAAAGAAAGTGCTCTTTTCTTACTATCTGGATTGATTGCACTGTGAATTGTTGGAATGACTATTTCTTATTATTTACTTAAGAAATGGTATGTGACCTTCAGAGGTAATGCCTGCAAGATTCTGTGGGTCTGTAAAAGCTAAGAGAGCAAACAGAAGCTGGCAGAAATGTAAAGGTATAGAGAATGTAGGAAAATAAAGAAGAAAAAAGAATGTAAAATAACAAACAGAGACTTGTAACAGAGAACTGGAATTAGAATTGAGAGAGAATTAGAGCTAAGAAATTATAGAAAATTAGGACAGAATTAAAATAGAGGTAGAATAAAGAGACATGTTTGGAAAGCACAGTGAGCCTTTTGTGTAAACCCTCAGATTAGAGCTATTCTAACCGCCTCCACTACACAGCGGCCTCTGACCTCAACTCTGGAGGAAGTCTGCAGAGCTAGACTCTGCAAGCTTCTGTAATTCTAAACTGCACAGTGAGTTTGATGCTAGCCTTGGCTATATAATGAGTTTGGTGCTAGCCTCAGATACACAAGATTCAGTATCAAAAAGAGGAAAAAATCTGTATTGTGTGCATACATATGTAGCAATTTTTGCCAATTCATGCAAGTTTAATGTTTATCCCTAGTAAGTGCCTACTCTGATATCAAGCTATATCACCTTTTTTTTAATTCTTTTGCTTGTAAGTTTGATTTATATTTATAATTCCATTCTTGAAAATACCCACTTCTCTCCCTTTTTAATATAAGTAACCACCTCTGTTCCAGCTAGAATATGTACTCTGCATTCAAATTACTACAAGTGTGGTAATACAGGGGTGTAATCCCAATAAAAGTGCAGGCATCGAGGTCATCTCAGTCACAAAGCGAGTTCAAAGCCAGGCTCATCGTCTCGTCTTGAAAAGAACAAGCCAAACAAAATCTTTTTGTGTGTGGGGGGGGGGGGGTAGACCATCCTACTGCAGACTGTAAATTTGTATTTTGTTGTATTATTACATGACTTTCAGTACCAGCCACTGTTTCTACCAGGACCAAGTGTGGTAGCTGCACTATCTGGTGAGTCCACCACCTGGAAATCCAGAGCTGGTTTTCTGCTGGTCAATGTTTCCCTGTATGCCTGGGTATCACTGTGCGATGCGGAGTTAGAAAAAGGCTCTGCAGAGACCACTGAAGGCACCGATGTGTAAATCAACAAATGGACTACATTTTTATCATCCTGTACCTTTGTTTCCAAACAGCGTCCAGACACAAGTTGTCACCCATTAGTTTCTTGTAGCTCTTAAGAGTCTGCAGACATGATCAGAGAAATAAATGGAGCTTGGGTTATGAAGACATCAGGATTTCCTGAGAGCAGCATGGTATAAATCTGTTAGTTACCTCTGTGTCCCCAGTACTCACACAACAACCAATGCATGTGAGGACTAAAACAAACATTTTAAGAGTATAATGTGTCTCCTATGTGTGCATATTATATACACACATTCACTGTTTTTTTCAGACAGGATCTCCCACTATAGCCCAGGGTGATCTTTCACTCTTAGGAAACCTCTTGTCTTAGACCCTTGAGCACTAGGGTTACAGGTATATCCCAAAGTCACTAGCAAATTTTGTTATATATTTGAATAATGGATAGTTAAGATTCTATTTTGTCTATTCCTGAAACAATATTCTGTCTTAGTCCTTACATAACCATATAGTAAGTCTTACTATCCACTATACAAGTCCTCATCATCATCTGTCTGCACCTCCTCTTGGTCCTTGACATCTCAGTATTCTTTTAGACCAGTGCTTCTCAATTTATGGGTCATGACCTCTTGGGGGTCGAACGACCCTTTCACAGGGGTCTCATATCAAATATCCTGCATATCAAATATTTACATTATAATTCATAACAGTGGCAAAATTACAGTTATGAAGTGACAATGAAAATAATTTTATGGTTGGGGGTCACTATAACCTGAGGAACTGAATTAAAGGGTCACAGCATTAGGAAGGTTGAGAACCACTGTTTTAGACTCATCTTACTGTAGTACTATAAAATAAAGATCATCAGGCTGGCTGAGTTACACTGGAATTTATTTACTAAATGAATTCCAGGAATGCCTGCTTCAAATGTGCGTGGCAGCCTCCGGCTTACAGAAAAACTAACTGCCCAGCATGTGGAAACTGTTCATCCCTGGCCTCAACTTCTGGACCCTCACTCCCAAATAAGCACTCAAATCACATGAATGGCACAGGAAGCCTCAGGACCAAAGCGGCCCTAACTGGAAGCACCTTCTGGGTGACTGACCCCTATAAATTAAGGGGCCACCTTGTCAATTTCCCTAACAAAAACAGGCAGAAACACTCAGAGCTTTTATATGAATCTCAAATCCCGGTCCAGAGTGCTCTGGAAACCAAACCAAAGCAAGCCTGCCTTCCCAGGTGCGCTCACTCTTGTGCCTCCCCGGGTGCTGCTGTAATAGCAATGGACTTGAACAGGATCCAAGGTAGGGAACACCACGGAGTGGTGGCTCTGGGAAAGGACACAGCTAGCAGTTTCCAGAGGCTATGTGAGTCTCATTCTCTGCTGGGCTGGACATCTTCATGGTTCTGCCCCCCGAAGCCCAGTCCTCAAGCAGGCTAAGGAGTAGGATGAGGTGTGGTGTGTGTATCCATGGGGAGGCTATGGAGGCAAATCAGGAAGAGGCAGAGGAATGGCTGTCTAGATGCTCCTGGGGCAAGCAGGCAGGACTAGGCAAGCATCTCACCCCTCTGGGATGAAGGGCCGAATCAGCTCTGGGTTCAGCAGTGACTCCTCAAGAGGACGGTCCACATGGAAGTCATGGACATGAGGGGGGCCTGGGTGAGCCTTCGGTGCAGGTCCTCCTGGGCGCTGAGGAACTGGCAGCTCAGAGGGATGGGCAGGCAGAGGAGCTGTGAAGAAGTACTGATGCAGAAGGGCCTGAGGGTAGCAAACAAGAGGCAGCCGAAGAAATCCAGTTACTACCAGCCCCCAGAACCATTCAGCTGGGTCAGCAAATCCTGCCTTTGTGCCTGTCTGGAGCACTGTCCCAGCGGCTGGGAACATGGCAGTGAGCTTGAAAGTCTTGCCAACAGAGGAAGGGGTTGGGGACATAAACCAGAGAAAGGGGCAGAATGTACAGGTATATCTCCAACAACTATAGTTTGATGTGTGGCTATTTCCTCCCGATTGAAACATTCCCTCTGGGCAGGAGGCTCCTTATAGACCCAGGAATTAGAGGAAACTCACAAGTCCCAGAAAACACCTGAGACTGTATCTGACCTCAGGTCAGATTTGTTAGCAGTGTCTATCTCGGTGAACAGACACTTGTTCATGTCTCCCAGGACAAGTTATAAATAAAGACCAGGGAGCTGCTGCAGGGTTTGAAGGGTTAGGACACAGGAGCACAAGCCCAAGGCAAGGAGCAAGCACAGGACGGGTAAGGACATGAAGAGCAATCAGGGGGGAAGGTGACAACACCCACACCTCCAACTCCTGCAGCTGCAAGAAGGAACCACCAACAAGAGGGGAATAGACAGAGGGCAAAGGTCACTGACTACTCCCCTGAAGAACACCCCATTGGGAAGCCCGGGCTTCCAGTCCGTCACAGATTCTGAGAGTCCCCTACTGGGCAGGGTCCCATAGTTCAGTGACCACAACTTGAACCTTACCTGGGAGGCTGCAATACGCTGGTGTGGAGGGTAGAGGAGGAACTGGCCCAGCAGGTCCAAGGCCTGGGGAGAGGCATCAGGCAGCACCTCCTCAAGGGGCACCGGTGCCTGCTCCTTGAAGGAGATCTTGTTGTAGTCAGGCAGCTCTGTGATCTCCTGAGCTCAGCAGAGGAAGAGGCAATGAGAGCAGGCCCCACCTCACCGCTCCGATGCAGGCTCCCTTTCACGTTCTCACTCAGATCATGGTCCCTCATCACCCACACACGCCCTCCTTGCCCCGATTGCTGAGATGTCACCCAGACAAGACCTGGCCCTTCTGCAGTCAAGGAAAGCTGGGGCCCTGGTACACCTGCATGAATAGAAGTCACTTCCTACTGGGGAAGAAAGCAATCCCACGCCTTCCCCAGCAATGGCTGCTACTAACCGGCCAGACTCGAGGGCTGGGCGTGCCCAGGATGCGAAGCACACAGCAAAGTTGCTCGATGTCATTCTCTCCCGGGAACAGGGGGGACCCATTCAACAGTTCTCCCATAATGCAGCCCACAGCCCTGTGGATACAGATGTAAGCAACTGGAGCTCTCACACACGGGTGATCACGCTACCCACGACAGCTCTAACACCTCAAACCAGGGTCAAGGTCCAGAGGTTTCTAGTGACAGAGCAACTCCTGACAGCTAGAAGACACTTAGAGCCCCGTATCTGGGTCACCCAGCTCCTCCTCAGTTTGGGGGGCAGAAATGCAAAATAACCCAAACCTCAGACCTCTGAAGACCACAAACTAGTCCACCAGAATGCTGAGCCTTCATACCTAGGGGCACAAGCCTCGCTCAAGCTCACCGCTGTCTCATCCTCAAGTCAAGATACCTGAACTGTACCCCAGACCACCTTACCCAGACGCCTCCCGCCTGAGACTATCACTGCCCTAACCTTCCCCCAACAAACTCAGAGACATCCCCATGGCAGGCGCGCATTACCTCATCCACCCCAGGGTCTCACCATAGGTCGACGCCCTGGTCGTACTGCCGGGCACCATACAGGAGCTCAGGGGCTCGGTACCACCTGGGGAAAAGGGTTTGAGATCACAGCTGGCTAGCTGGTCTGATGAGAAGCTCACAGCCCATGCCCGAACAGAAGGTGCAGAGGTGTCTCTTCCCCCGTGAGAGAACTGGCAGGGATACAGCCTCATTACCTGGTGGCCACTTGATGTGTGTAGAGGCGACCACCATCTGGAGAGAAGACCCGGGCCAGGCCAAAGTCCGCGATCTTGAGCTCGCCTGAGGCACTGATGAGCAGGTTGGCAGGCTTCAGGTCCTGTGCAGACAAAAGGGGGCATCAGTCTCCCTCAACCCATAGGGCTTTGGGACAGGGAGATAGGCAGTCAGCCCCATCTCCTCTAGAGCCACAGCCCTGGCTGCTTACCTGAAGACCCTCTTCAAGGACTAGCTCACCCCAGCCCACCACAGCCCATGTTGGTACTAACCCGATGCACAATGTTGTTGGCGTGGCAAAATGCAACACCTTTGAGCAGCATCTGCAGGTAGCTCTTGACCTGTGCTGGGGCCAGGGGCCTCTGGGCATGGCGCACCACCTCTGCCAGGTCTGACAGCATAAACTCGAAGGCCAGCACAAATCCTGCACCATGTGGGAACACGGCTTTCAGCTGTACCACCTGAGGGCAGAAATCCTATCAGCCTCTAGACCAGAGGTGCTCAAACCATGGGTCTCTACCCCTTTGGCAAACATCTATCTCCAAAAATATTTACATTATGACTCATAACAGCAGCAAAATTACAGTTGTGAAGTAGCAACAAAACCACAACATGAATCATATTAAAGGGTTACAGCATCAGGAAGGCTAAGAACCATTGCTCTAGACTCACCTCCTGACCCACCAGCAGCAGCACCATTCGCACTTGCCCTGCCAGAGGGCCAAGCAAGCAAAGACAGCCAGGGAAAAGATAGATGGGTTAATTGACAGAAAGCTGGCTAGAAACAAGCCAAGCTAAGGCTGGGCATTCCTAATTAAGAATAAGCCTCCAGGTGTGATTTATTTGGGAGCTGGGTAGTGGGCCCCCCAAAAAGCCAAAAGTAAAACATTAACGTAACACTAGTCTCTGCAGGGAAACCTTAGAAGTGGTAGTGAATGAAGATGATAAAGGTTGGGGACTATTTTTTTAACATATGTCTTTGTGTTTGGATGCATGTGTGTACAAACATGTGCATGAGCACGTGGAGAATCACGGCTGAAGTCAGGAGTCTTCTTTAATTGCTCTCCTCATTATCTGTTGAGGCAATGTTTCTACTGAATTCAGGGCTTCACCAAATACGCTGGTCTGACCAGCCAGCTTGCTCCAATAGGTCCTGAGACCTACAACCCCAGACTTCACAGTACACTGGCACACAGGCATACACCAGGTGTGTAGCCTGTCACCTCCTGATTCCATTACACACACGCTCTCGGGAAACAGACTGGGACCAGTTCCTCAGCGTCACTAGCGCTGTGCACAGGCCAGAACTTTCAGGAGGCTCCAGGAAGACTGCCAGTGATACTCAACTCAAAGTCTTCAATGGATAGCTGAGGACCCACGAAGTGATGAAGAAAATCAAGCATTCCCCTTGCTTAACAAATTCCTGAAACTTGCTTTGAAAAGCAGGGAGAACTCCGGGTGACCACACATAAAGCCTTTAAACACACCCGCGGAACAAGTACAAGTTACTGAGAAATCCGTACGGTTGGGGACATACTTTAGTGGCACAGCACCTGCCCATAGTATGAAAGAAAAGAAAGCAAAGCAGGGAGGTGGAAGGGGGGACAGGAAGGAAAGGAGAGAAAAATCACAAAATATTTAAAAGAGAAAAAATGAATGAGTGTATGAGCAACGAGTCAATGGGAGGGAGAAATAGGGGCTAAGCGGGCAGGAGCTCAGTGAGGATTAGAAGGGAATCCTTCAAAGTGTCTGTGGGTGGGAAGGTAAGGGTGGAAATGAGTGAAAGAGGGCGGGGGAGAAGCTGCTGTCTTGGAACCTGTCGCCCACCGTCTGGTCCACCAGATCCCTGCCCCACTCACATACTGACTGTCCTCGATCTCCTGCAGAGCCTTGATTTCCCTTAGGGCCTGGTTAGGAATGCCATCCTCCAGCCGCCGCAGGGCCACCTTCTTGAGGGCAACGATCTCTCCAGTCTGTGCAGTAAGGAGAGCAGATACTGCCAGAACACCTTCTGGCAATGAAGGGCAGAAAGAGAACACACAGGGAACAAGATACCCGCAGAGATCCCCCCCTAGGTAGGGAATATCTAAACCGCCCGCCAAGGGACGCGCTCCCACAACCCCGCTGCTGGAAGCGGGATCACAACCGAAGGGACCCGGACAAGCATCCAGAGACCCCCGAGGCCTGCAGGTCTCAGCACCAGAAGGCCGCAGCCAGTGGCTTGAGGCAGGGGGAACGCAGCGTGGCCTCACCTCTACGTGCTTGGCTTTGAATACGATGCCGTGGGCGCCCTCCCCGATGCGACCGAGGATGCAGTACTGGTCCATGTCCGCCTGCGGCGCCCAGATCCTCCTAGACAGCTAGGATGCAGCACCGGACAAAGCGTGCAAGCCGTTGCCTAGCAATAACGAGTCTAGCCGCGGCTCCGTGCAGCACGTGACAGGAAAGACCCGCGCTGAGCTCTGTCGGGAATCTGATCCCCGCTAGACAACACCTTTCCGGGAACCCTCAGCAGTCCATCGGAAGATTACCTAACGGCGTCACGTGACAAGAACGCGGCTGCGTGCAGCCCGAAGGGGCAGAGGCACGCAAGTAAAGGGCGTGTTCACGCGCTCAGGGGCGTGGCTTCTGCTAGAGAGGTGGGGCGAGCGGAGTCATCCAGAATCTGCAGGCCGAGTACCCAGTGGTGAGAACGTCGTCTGCCTCTTGCTGCAGATGACTCCAGGTAGCGTTGGAGACAAGGCCAGAGCTGAGTCGTGGAGATTCACTTGGCCCTCTAGTCTCTCCAATAGGCATTGTGAATCTAAATACCTTTTAAAAGAGTTTACTAAGCCTGGGGCTGAAGCTCCGTTAGTGAAGTGCTTGCCTAGAATGCACAAAGCCATTGGTTCAATTCCCAGGACCACATAAACTGGTCTCACTTACCTGGGGATTTGTAGTCCCAATACTTGGCAAGGTCATTCTCATCTACATAGACAGTTCAAGGCAGCCTACACTAGGAGAACTTGTCTCAAAATCATAGCGAATGCCCAGCAAGCATGTGAAATGATGGCCAAGATCCCTACTAATTAGGAGAAATGGAATCAAACCACGGTAAGACCCTTTAGGATGACCGCTGTCAGAAAAGTAGACGATAAACTGGCTGTGGTTGCCCTGCCTATAATTCCAGTGCCCAGCAGAACGAGGCTAAGGGGATCTCAAGTAAGAAGTTAGAAGGATGCAGAGAAAGTACCACCCTCGTGTGTTTTTGTTGAAATGTGAGTGTGCCAGGCATGGTGGCTTATTCCTCCGATCTGAACGCTAAGGAGACTAAAGCAGGGTTGCCACGTGTTCAAGGACAGCATGAGCGAGAGTGTGAGACCGTCTCAAACACAAAGTAAACAAAACCTTTAAACAGAAAGTGTGAGGCTGGGGACCCTGTGGAATGACTGTGAGCCGCTCTTCTTCCGGGCGTGAAATAAGCGAAAACTTTCACACTACCCATAGTGCTAAATCAGGAAAACAGAAAATTCAAGTTTGGACCACAGTGTGAGGAGGAACCTCAAATTAAAGCAAAACAAAGATGTGGTAGTGTCTCCTTGTTCTTCCAGCGCTTGAGAGGTAGAGGCAGGAAGGCCAGGAATTCAAGACCATCCTTGACTTCATGCTGAGTTTAGCTTTGATAGGCTAGTTACTACTCAGAACTAAGGAAAATGTTGCATTGACATCCAAACTGATACACTGTATTTTATAATTTTATATGTGAAGACACATACAAATTAAGTCTTTTTACTCATAAAATCATAAGATTAGAGCTTTTTCTTTTTTCTTTTTCTTTTCCTTTCTTTTTTTTTTTTTTTTTTTTTTGAGGCAGGGTCACTTTGTGCAGCTCTGACTGGCTTGGAATTCCCTATGTAAATCAGGCTGACCTGAAACTCACAGAGATCTACCTGCTTCTGACTCCCAAATGCTGGGATTAGACAAGATTATTTTCTTTGAAGAGTTTGTCCCAAGCAATATTGTGAGTTCCACATCTTTGCTGAAGTCTTTCCTCTTGTTTTTCATTAGTAGCCAGGATCATGAGCTGAATATATATAAAGTCATTAAAAAAGGAAAGAAAAACTTCTTATACTTTAAAACAGAAAGAATCAGCCCACTAACAGGTACTACAGCCTGTGAGCCCAGAACTTTGGGATGTTGAAAGGCATAAGGAGTTCAAATCCAGCCTGGATTACAAAGTAAGACCTGCCTCAGTGACTGGGAGGGTTCTAAGAAAGGAGGAAAATCAGTTTTCTCCAGGGACAAGTCCCCTGGTAGGTTTGAAAGACCCTCGACGAGGACCTTTTTTCGGGAGGAGACCTCCCCAACGCCAAGGAACAGGCCGAAACCGCACAGCTGCAAATCGCAAGAGGTTTATTGAGTAGACACAGGTACCTGCAGGTGGCAAGATCTCTCAGAAGACTTGCACGCCTGCCAACTGGAGGGTGGGCTTTTTATAGGGAAGAGCAAAAAGCAAGTTTACAGAAGCAAAAGCGTGGTTATCAGAATGAGGTGGGGAGCATGAATGGTTTCCTCTCTCAGCATGGATGTCTGGCAACAGTCATCCTGTTCCTATCTTATAGATATCCTGTTTTGCAGTCAACCTGCTTTGTTGATGTCCTATCTTATTGATATCCTGCCTTGCAGTCTTCCTATCTCATAGACATCCTGCTGGCCTGGAGGGATGGCTCAGCCATTAAAGGCTAGGTTCACAACCAAATCTCTGCACCCACCAGCTGCACTTCCATCCCCCAGCATAAGCTGACCCTGTCTGAAGTATCTGGACAGGGATTTTGCATAGGGACTATTCCCAAAACCCACCAGGCCTTATGTAACTCAACCCAAAAGGTGTCCAGAGGAACCTATTACCTAGCTGCCTCCAACGGGACCTATTGGGCATGCAGTACTGGATTAACCCCATGCGTTTCAGCTGCTGTGCTCAGTGAAGCCTCTGATTATTGCGTTCTAATTGAATTATGGCCCAAAGTTACATACCATGATCCTGAATACATCTATAGTCATTTTGAAGGGAGACCCCGATTTAGGAGAGAACCAGCCTCCCTAACTTTGGCCTTATTGCTGGGAGGCATCACTATGGGGGGAATAGCAGCAGGGGTGGGCACAGGGACCACCACTCTTATGGAGACCAGCCAATTTAGACAACTTCAGGCAGCCATGCATACTGATATCAAGGCACAGGAAGAATCGGTTAGCGCACTCGAAAAGTCCTTAACCTCCCTCTCAGAGGTAGTCCTACAAAACAGGAGGGGGCTAGACATGTTGTTTTTGCGAGAGGGAGGGTTATGTGCGGCGCTCAAAGAGGAATGCTGCTTCTATGCGGACCACACTGGGCTAGTGAGAGACAATATGACAAAGCTTAGAGAGAGGATAAGACAGAGACAAAAGATGTTTGAATCACAACAAGGATGGTTCGAAGGATGGCTTAATAAGTCTCCCTGGTTTACAACTCTATTGTCTTCTTTGATGGGTCCCTTGATTATCCTCCTTCTGATACTCCTGTTTGGGCCCTGCATCTTAAACCGCCTGGTCCAGTTTATAAAAGACAGGCTGTCAGTCATTCAGGCCCTAGAACTGAACCATCAGTATCACATGTTACCACAACGAGAAAGCAAGGTTCTGTAATTGCTTTGAGTAAAAGATTTAACTCAATAATAAAAAGAAAAAGGGGGAAATGAAAGACCCTACAGACCCCCTCCTCAAAACCCGCAGCTAGCATGCTCCCGGGGGAATGTCCTGTTTGCTTAAGAACATCCCATGTGCTTGAGAGAGCAGGATGTCTATGAGATAGGAAGACTGCAAGGCAGGATATCAATAAGATAGGACATCAACAACACAAAGCAGGTTGACTGCAAAACAGGATATCTATAAGATAGGAACAGGATGACTGTTGCCAGACATCCATGCTGAGAGAGGAAACCATTCATGCCCCCCGCCTCATTCCAATAACCATGCTTTTGCTTCTGTAAACTTGCTTTTTGCTCTTCCCTATAAAAAGCCCGCCCTCCAGTTGGCAGGCACGCAAGTCTTCTGAGAGATCTTGCCGCCTGCAGGTACCAGTGTCTACTCAATAAACCTCTTGAGATTTGCAGCTGTGCGGTCTCGGCCTGTTCCTTGGCGTTGGGGAGGTCTCCTCCCAAAAAAAAGGTCCTCATCGAGGGTCTTTCAGCTTATCTAATTCCAAGTGGTCACACCTGTACATAAGCCACACTAAATAAACTTAGTCATGTGTGTGTGTATACACTTACGTATATCTACACATACATATATATGTACATTTACATATGCATATATCCGAAAATGTGCAGCAATAATAATTAAACAAGAGGTCATTAATTTAAGAGGGACTAACACAGGAGAAGTTGGAGTGAATTATATGAACATAGTACTTGTGTGAAATTATCAAAAAACAAAAAATGCACTTAATTTTAAAGGAAGGAGGGAGGGATGGAACGAAGAGAGAGAAAGTGAGAGAGAGAGCTGTCACCCACTGACAAGAGAGATCAGAGAAAGACAAGGTGTTCTGCTGACACCTAGTGTCTGAAGCGTGGTAGGCCTGAGCAAACAAAACTAAGAACATCATTTGATACCTGCCTGGTCCTTAATCATTGTGCTTTGTTTCTTTATATGCTCCAGATCTTTGCCTTGTTGCTAGGACTCACCCCCACCCCCCAGAGAAATGGCACAGCTGACAACTCTCAAAACCTGTAAATCAATCGTATTGGTTAATGTCAATCTTGTGTGCAGCCTTCTCCACTTTGCGTATATACAGGTCAGACTAGAGGGTTGTTGGTTGGAGTATGGCGTGACAGCTCTGAGGGTGCAATAGTGACATACATACATTGGTGATAACCAACAGTTCTCTGATTAGACTTAAGACCCATTCAACAAGAGGGAAACCATACCTGGTTCTAGGAACCTAGCTAACTAACTACTCAGTGTATGATGGCTATTCTGGTTGTCAAGTTTACTGCATCTGGAATTAACTAAAATGCAAGCAGCTGGAAACACCTGTGAAAGATTTTTTTTTCTTAATTAAATCCTTTGAAGTGGGTGCAGACTACATAAGGGAAGCTTGCTTTCTTTGCCTGCTTGCTTTCAATAGCAAGTCCATTTCCTTCACTAGAATTAGAGCCTACGTCTTCAGGATTCTGACATATACTGAGACCCATTGAGACATACAGCCTCAAGGGCTGAACCACTGAGTTTTTGAACCTTTCATTGTTAGACAGCCATTGTTGCACTAGCTGAACCACAGCCTATAATCCATTCTAATAAATCCCCAATAGATAGATAGATGATAGATAGATAGATAGATAGATAGATAGACAGACAGATAGGATTCATTCATTCTATAAATTCTACTTCTCTAGAGAACCCTGACTAATACACAGTGCTAGTGAAGTCAGGTTCAATTCTCAGCACCCACATGTCAGCCCGTACTGCCCATATCTCCAATTCCAGGATTCTACA